CGGATCTTCCAACGGGGCGGAGGCCCCTGGGTCCGCCCGACACTCGCAGCGGTGGGTGCCCTGTGCGTCTTCTGGCTGATCGGGGCGTGGCTGGCCACGGCCTTTCAGTGTACACCCGTACGAGCCTCGTGGGAAGCCGTGGCCGGTTCGAAATGCGTCACGCAGTGGAAGTTCTTCACGGGGACCGCGGCCCCGAGTGCCATCCTGGATTTGATCATCCTGCTGATCCCGCTGCCTCTGCTCTGGTCGTTGCATATGACTCGGGCGAAGAAGGCCATGCTCATCGGCCTTTTCATTTGTGGGTACTCGTGAGTGCTCCCTCCCCTTTGTCAGAAGAAGGGAGAAAGTTTTCAGTTGGTCTAACAATGGCCGTGTGTGCTCTTAGAGTGGTCGTCGTATCTGTCGGTCGGCTCATCACTCTTCTCAAGGCGGGATCGGCCCTGGAAGCCGATCTCACCTGGACCACCATCGAATATATCTGTTGGGTGCAGTGTGAAGGCCCGATCTCGCTCATGTCGGTCTGTCTCCCGAATATCACGGATCTGGGGCGTCGCTGGCTCGCAAGGAGCGGACGAACACAGCCGCTCCGGAACAGTGCCTTCTCATTATCTTCATCCGCCAGCAAGCCAAGCAATACGGCGGAGTTGCTGAGTGGCAAACGATCATTCCATCCTCTCGGGGAAGTAGCAGAAGGAGTAGATCGAGAGGCCATCCTCCTGGACAGCGGTGGCCCACAGAGAACCCCCAAAGATAGCCGGCATCACATTTATGTGAACACTACCTTCGAAGCAACACGAGATAGTGTCTGACTGCGGAGATTGCCTCTGCCTTTTTGTTGGGTGTTGTGACAGAATCTGCAATCCTTGGAGCGAACCATCGGCTGGTTCGATGTTTTGACATTCTCTTTGGCGGAACGGTGATACTCGTCAGGTCGTATCTAGATATGAATACCTATACTAGCAGACTAGCAGGTCAGCGGCGAAATGGCTTGGCAGCTGGCAACTACAGTACAGCACAAGTTCCTGTTCGTACCGATCGGAAACGCCTTCGATTAAGCCAATTTCGAAGACCCTTGGCAAAAGGTGAAGGAGCGTTTCAAGCACTATGGCGGCTCTAGTAAGATGCGGCTTTGGTCGGGGGACGTGGATGAGTGATGAAGTCAGCTGCGTGAGGATATCTGGCCGAAGAACAAACAACATGGGCGTGGCGAGCGGTGAGCAGCCTGGCTCGAGAGGCCTTGGGGATTGCCATGTTGGGGAAGGGGCTGCGGATCCGACCCGATCTCGCCTTCCCCTCCTCCTCCTGAATTCTGGAGATGTCTGCATCCTCATGTCCTTTAGCAATCTTGTAGCAATCTTTCCCCCCATCTCTTAACTTGGGGTTCATGGCCGTGTTGTCATGAATAATCATGGTAGAGAGTATATCTTCAGTCCAAGGTAGTAAGCTGTTATCATTGAATTCATACTATCGTTGCATGCTGACGGCTACTGGCTACTATGGCTACTATGGCTGAGAGATAGTAAGTTGGTGGTTTATACCTTCTTCTTCCCACATATCACACTCTCCTACCGGTCGCATTCTCTGTTTTGCTCTCTCAACATCTACTCCGCCACTTGCAATTGCGTCAATAGGTCCGCCTGCACGTCCTTCAAGAACTCCGTCATCTGTTCAGGGGGGTGGAAGGCCTCGTTGTACACCAGCCGAAGGGTCAATTGATCCCGGAACGTCCAGACAAAGACCACGCCCTGGCGCGACAGCATTTCCACTCCGACTCCAGCATGGGTGATACTGAACCCACGCCCAGGGATGCCATACTCGCGCTGCAGATATTGTTCCATGATGCCCATGCTGCTGATATCGATATCGCTGGGAGGCTCCTCTGGCGTGGGCAGGTTGCGAATGACCTCGACCAAGGTGGAGGCATACTCGCGGTGGCCCTGAAGATAATCGCTACTGATCCCTTTCTGGTACTCGGCCTGGTACTTGCGGGCCATCTCCTCCCAGGTGTTGGAGGCAGGGTCCACGCGGGCCAACCAGCCGGAGGTGAATAGCGCGGCGGCCATGGCCGGGGTTGAGTAAGGCGGGGGCAGGTACGGGCGCAGCGACTGTTTGATGGTGCTGGTGTAGTGGCGGCCCTGGTGGCGGTGGTCGGCGATGGCGCGGCGGAAGTTGACGGCGGCGAGACTGGCATGCACCGCCGCGGTGATGCTGACCCCGCGGGCTTTGGCAGCGGCCACGGCGGCGGCGGTGATGGCGGGCGAGCAGCGCAGCTCGGCGGCCCGCGTACACGAGGGTACCGTCGAACCGTCCCCCAGATACGGCACCCCCATCGCCCCGGCCGCCAGCGCAAACGTCCCCACCGCCCCGTGGGCAATGGCCTTTTGCTCCTCCGTCGCCGAAAGGGGCATGTTGCCCGCTTCCTCCACGGGGGGCGCAAGCCGCTCTACCTCCGATCCCCAGGAGAAGGCCTCAAACGCGTCTTCGGGCCGCAGCTGCTTCTTCTTCTCCTCCTCCTCCTCTCCGCAGTGCGAGGCCATCAGGTCCACCAGTTGACCCAAAAGAAGGAGGCCGCCCACTCCGTCCATCCGCCAGTGTGCGCTGTGCAGGAGTAGTTCACCGGTTTTGGGGATGTAGTACAGTCGAGCGTCCGGAGCTGGGGCAATGCGACGTATTACATCGTCGGCGCACTGGGCGTCGGCCTCGACGGAGAAGGTCTCGGAGGCCCATTGGCTAAGCGCATCGGCCGAATCAGGCACCGTGTAGACGAGGTTGGCGTTGGAGGCGTCGGGATGCGCAGCCAGACTTGGGTGCTGGAAGCGCAGATGCAACCAACTGTAGCGGATCAGGGGCGGGAGAAGATCTGCGGTCGCAGAATCCCCATGAGGTTGGATGGCGACGGTGTAGTTGACGGCCCAGTGTTCCCGACCCAGGGGGTGGCCAGGGTCACTGACTAACTTGATAAAAGTCTCATTGGGGCCTAGGGGCCGTGTGAAGGTGTTGGGCGAGTCCTTGGCTGCAGTCCACGGCATGATTGAAGCGATGAGAGAATGTGATTGCTGGGTGATGAGGAGTGGCGACGGCTGCTGCTGCTGCTGCTGCTGGCCATGGCAGGGAGTTGAAATAGCCCTGAGTGCAATGGCGGGCAACAAAAACGATGACTTGGAGACTTGGAGACTAGGATCAATTGGCTCGCTCGCAGCATTGATATCTGGCCGTATCATGCAATGACCAACAATGGGAAGCTCCGCTGCCACGGCTAACCCCTCAATCCCAGTCTTCTTCGATTCCAGCAAGTCTCCGGTCGATCCTTATAAGTTCTTAGACACCGTAAGCACTAACACTCAGCGCTAACGGGACGGCGTACGCGCTAACAGTATGTGAAAAATACGTACAGTAACTTACGATGCACTTACCATGCATGACCCCATTACAGTCACGCTAGAGCCTCACGCATTGAATGATTTGGGACTGCAAAAGTACGTACCTCGTAGGTAAGAGTCTTGAATATGTGTTCAACTATAGTGAAAGTCGGCGAGTCAATCGACTGACCAATCTGCTTAAATCCCATACTCACCACTCAACACCAAAAAAATCAATTTACTCTACATAGCCCATAGCCCCCCAATATGCAGGTCGAAGGTGTCGCGCTGGTCTTTGGTGCTGGTACATACGTCCTCCTTTTCGATGACCATGGATCGAAACTAAACCAGATCACAGGAAGTGGCATTGGGCGCGCAGTCGCCCACACGCTGGTCGCGCAGGGCCTCACCACTCTCGTCTGCGCCGACATCGATCTCGCTCACGCCCAAGAAACCGCCGAGTCCAGCTACGAGGTCTTCGCGGAGCGACGGCCAGCCTACGAGGCGACCGCTTACCAGGTGGACGTGCGCGATGAGGCGCAAGTGCAAGAGGTGGTCGCCAAGACGAAGGACCGGTATGGCCGCATCGATATCTGCGTAACGACTGCCGGGGTTAGCCGAACTCCTCATATTTGCTGTTCCATGTGCGAAATCATGATTGACTACTAGCTAACCACATATCACTCGCGACAAAAAAAACCAAAAGACCCCCGCTGCCAACCAGACCGCGGTTAGCGACATGAGCCTAGAAGCGTATCGAAGCATGGACGAGGTGCACAATATCGGGTGCTTCCTGGTCGTCCGCGAGGTGATCCGGGCCATGGCCAGCCAGAAACCGATCGAGTCGATTACTGCCGGAAGGCGAAGAAAGCCAGCCCGGGGCTCCATCGTGATCTTAACCTCGCTGGCCTCGGAGGGGGCATTCTTGGGTGTCGGCAATTACATTGCCGCCAAACACGCGGTGAAAGGCTTGGTTCAGACAGCTGGTGCGGGTTCCCTCTTTTTAAATGTATCTCTTTCTCGTGTTGGTGCTGACACTGATTGAACTGGAACCCCAGCCCTTGAGAACGCGGGCAACGGGATCCGAATCAATGCCGTGGCGCCCTCGTACGTGTCCGGACCGATGATGGAGCAGTTTTTGGACCAGGCGCCGGCCGTCAAGGCGGCGATGCTGGGGGATCTGCCCATGCGACGGCTGGCGGACCCGGAGGAGGTGGCGGATGCGGTGGTGTTTCTGGCGTCGCCGGCGGCTAGCTATATCAATGGCCATACTTTGGTGGTGGATGGGGGGTCGTCGTTGCAGTTGTCGAACCAACCGTTTTCGTGATTGCTACAGCTTTGGAAACTTCGAGTTCAAAAGCTGTCGGGTATTCTTAACTCCTTCCGTGGCCGCCCCCGGGTTAAGTACGGCCGCAGATTAGGCACCTCGTGACTCGATGTTGCAGATGGGTTAGAACCTTTGCCTTTTGCGCTTTATCAGCAACCAGCTACCAACCAGCCTTGGTCAAGATGTATGCATGCCTCTACAGATGGTCTGCGGTACGACAAATGCAAATTTTTGACTCCGAGCGCTTGGCCAGTCTCGACGACTGTGACATCAGCCTCTTGCTTTTCGTATCATTCAAGATGATGGCTTTCCATCTAAAAAGCTCTCGTCGATGGTGCCAGAACACATTCGTTCAGAGCATGTGGAGTGCCTGTGTAGGGATGGTTGCCTAGGATAGAAAGTCCGGATGTATGGGCAATGTATTAGTTATGACTGACTATATGAACATCCAATCGTCAATCCAACGTCGAGATGACCCTTCCGTAGCTCGACGGGCCCAGATCTTCTCAAGCACTTTCAAGGCATTCGTCACATTGTGACAGCGCCACAGTGTCCACAGACTTTCTAGCACATCAGTGATGACTGCCCTTTGAGACATGGTTTGCGCCTCGGGGCCAATGACAAAGGCAGGCCACAGGAGTTCTTTGAGATGGACATCCGCCGGATCCACGGATTTGAGATGGTGAAGGGCCGAATCCAGTGATTTGTTGGCTCTCCCTGCGCTCTTGAACACATCGCTTTCGAAAGGAACGGGAAGAACTTGCAGCGCGTACATCTCGACTGCCGCGTGCCACACGCAGGCAAGTTGATATCTCGGCTTCATGTCATGTGGTGGGTTTCCGCATCCGCAACTGCCCAATGCATCGGAGAGAAGTTGTGCAGATGGGAGAAAATGTGGGCCAATAAATCCGGTGGCGTTTCGTGAGATCTTGAAGCAGCCGCATTCGCGAGGGAGATCACGTAGAGAAGAGGCCAAGGGCACCCGGTCCATGTCTGGGACTCACAGCGCTTCAAGATGTCGAAAGTAGGGGACCTCGAGAAGAGCGGCTGCCAAGGCTGTTTGGTTTTCACAAACGTCGACCCTATGATTTGCAAACTGGAACATGGACTTAGTGACCGCGGCTTGGCCAGACAAGGCTGGACTCTACTTACACGGCGTAGCTTGTGTCAAAAGATTCGGCCATTTGAGGCAAGTCGGCGGCCGGTGCTCCCTCCCTAGAGGGCGCGAGGGATAAGGTGCGCTTTGGCATCACTTCTCTCAGTCCACGAAGATGGTATCGCCAGGTATCTCGTCCCGAATCCATGAGCTCAAACCATATGGACATTATCATGGATGCAACGACACCGTCCGGATTACAGGAGTATCCCGCATATCCTTCGCTTCTCAAGAACCTGAGAGTTCGCTGTTTGTGGTAGAGAGAATCGTGATATGCTGGGATCTGGTACGATTGTGATACTTGTACCTCATGCTGATTTGGCTTGTATGCCATCGTTCCTTCTTTGCATTGAGCCGATGCAATTCGGAGGGTTAGATGGAGAGCTGCCACGGACACCACCGCGTGGCACAATGCCGGACAGGAGGGAATGAATCGGATGGACTCCTTGAACAGATTTGCGCCCTCGAAATCATATAGCACCCACTCCTGACAACACTGTTGCTCAACTGACCTTCAATCAGTCCAGGACTCACTGGGCTCAGGCACTCAACTTACAATAAGCAATATAGTCTCGCATTGACGGCGACAAATCCTGCAAGCCGGGGTCATTCAGCACTCTGCTGAGTGAGAGGTGTTGCTCTCGACGTGGCAGTTTCTTGCCCGTCAATTTGCCGCGGCTTGCCACACTGTCGGTCCATCGCAGAGGCTTGTCTTTGCTGTATCCCAGACAGGGTCGCTGCGAAGATGTGCATTTGCCACAGTGCGGGAGGGCTCGATCGCACTTCAGGCGCTGGCGACGACAAGTCCAACATGGAACATCGGCACAATCCACAGCAGCGGCATTCATACTCATTGAAATCCAGAAGTCTTTGGTGGTCGAGTCGTAAGAAAAGTGAGAGTTTGAGTTCTCCAGCTAAGTTTTGCACCTACCCATAAGTTAGTTATTACTACCCATACATAACCAGTTCGATCATAGGTAGCTCGCACCATTCCTAAGAAGGAAGCCAAGACGCAAGTCCCGGGTTTCCACATTCGGGGAAACAACTTACGGTGGGCTACGGAGTTCTCGGTATTGAATCTGAAGTCTACATAGATACGAGGCATTCGTAGAATAAAAGAATCCCTATCAAATCACCTGCCTCGAGGATCTGCATTTTTCTGATTCTGAGGTCGACCAAAATGCCTATAACCCTTCCGGTACCACCCCCCTCATCCTCTCCAGAATCCCCATACTCCGTTCCCCGCCATCTTCCGGGATAACAAACCAAGCAGGCTTGGATTCCAAAAAGATATGCTCTCCGACCGTCTCCGGCACCTTGCCTTGAGAGTTCCTTTCATCAACCGTAACAGCCACAATGCCCACCTCGTGTGATTTGGAATGGTAGACCATCGTCATGGGACTGCGGCAGTCACCGCAGATCGTGCGAGTGGCATACTGGCTCAGATTGATCTCGACCAGACGGTCGCTCCGGGTCCAGTGGAAATGAGACGACTCCACGTTCGTGAATGCTGCGAAGGGAGCGCCGTGCAGGAGGCGGCACATGCGGCAGTAGCAGTATGTTAGCCCGTGTAAGGGGGCGGTTGTGGCGTAGGTGGTTTGTTGACAGTAGCAGCTTCCAGAGACGACGATGGGGTCCGGGGAGCGGTTGGCAGTGGAGGTGGAGGAGGTTGACATGGTGGATTGTGCTGCTGGACGGTGCTGTTTATGGTGAGGTCGGAGGAACCAAGGCAAGGCTATCGTGCAGGGTTGTGACACTATGGAGAAGTCTGCTGGGGGGACTTGCGTGATCTCTGCTGCAGTATAAGTAGATCAGTTTTTAATTGTAGATTGGTAAGCCAAGGGGGCTATATTATACTTCCAGATAGATAACTAACTACGAAGTATGACATCATCGCCCACAGACGGGTGGCATACTCATAGCACGCAGAAGGGGATTGATCACCACGATAGCAAATGGGAGGCTGGCTGATCAGCAGAATGATATATGTGAGGTCAATCAGGCTGAATTATAGATGTAGGGTGATTATAGGAGAGTGTAAACCAATCATCAGCAAGGCCTCGATATCTAGTCAAACGACTGGTGGAACGAGTGACGCACAGGCCTGCTTCTTAACATCTTATGCTCCAATCACTCTGCTCCTGAGATCCATATCAACAAATGTCAACATTTTCTATGGCCCGCTCTCCTGAAACTTGCTCGCACAGTCTCTCGTCAAAAAAAAAAACAAAAAAAGAAAAAACACCAAGAAATGAAATAAAAGAAAATGTCGTTTTACCATCTCCTGCAACAGTGAGTGAGGATCTAGCCCTTGGCAAAAGAACTCCAAGAGCCACATATATTCACATTTGCAACGCCGCCAGAAAAGGATGCGTGTACGTGATCTGCGTATGACGGGCGTTCAATTGAGCCTTCCTACCTGAGATTGCACACAGGCATATGCCTTTTGCATCTTGTGGGCCTTGAGTACTACACAGGTCTTTCAATCTATCCAACCTTCAAGTCCAGATCTACTTCGTCTGGTCGTTGCAGCCCTTGGCCCTGCCAACACTCCATCTCTGTAGTGAAAAGCTTGCCCTGAACCTCCTTTCCATACATCGGATGATCTCTACCACGCCTCCAGCGACTCTATCTTGTTTCAATCAACCAGGCCTCTTCATCGTGATCGGCCCTGAAGTCATTTTCGAATACATAAGCACGCGTCTCACAATTGTCCCATCCAGTACCCGGGTGGCGATATGCATCCCCCCGGTCGCCCGTAAGGTAATGCATAAATCCACCGTGTGACACGAGAACAATCTCCGCATCGTCATCCCCATTGGAAACCAGCTCCCGTAATGTCGCCCGCAAAAACAGTCGAGCATCGCGGGCGCGAGCACGGATCGCATCGTTGCTCGGACTGTAGCGAGCTCCAGCCTTCTTCTGGTTCCAGCCATCTGTCACCAAAGAGAGGTCCACCGGCCATTTCTCTTTTCCCACGATGCGTCGGAGGATTTCTGGGTCCGAGCCAATGTCGCACGGGTCACTTGACGTTTCTTGAGCGTCAGGGAAGGCGAGAATCCTTTCGGATTGGAGGGCCGACGTCAGAGCTGGCTGGAATACCAGAGCTGCAGTTTGAAGCGCCCGGCACATCGGTGACGACAGGATAAGGGAGATTCCCGACTGGTTACGGAAGGCGTCTTCACGGAGCGATTCACATTGATTCTCTCCAGTCAGTGACAAACGTGGGTCAGGGATGGTATAGCAACCGCCACCGACATTATGGAAGCCTTCCCCATGGCGAACACAATGGATGACTGATAGCATTTCCTATTCAGTTCCAAGGTCAGTAAAGCAATAAGTAGAGTTTGCAAGATTGCAAAAGCCCTTACCGTGATGCTGGGGCTGGACGTTTTGTTGGAGCCAGGACCTTTGCGCTAGCAGCCGGTATAGATTCTCGCTTGGTGGACGTTAAGTTTCACTCATAGTACAGGCTCAAGGGCAGACAAGTGTGATGTGTAGCGTCAATGCCCAAGGGAGAATTCTTATCTTTGCTCATACGTGATTATATATCACTACTATGTAGAACTATACGCTATGTGCCGAGGGAACATCGAATAACTGATTAAGCCAATCACAACTCTCCTTTGCCCCTGCCTTTTTTAAAGTGTCCAGGTGGCCGCGGGAGCTAGTATCTTGGCAGCCTTGTTTGGAAGTTTCTAGTGGAGATGTCTTCCGAGAGCCAGACGTATCAGAACGATCGTTTGGCTCAACATTGGTAAGGGTTTGATCAAACTACGTAGTACTATTTGTAGCTCTATCAAGGAAACAGACCATGATTTTGGTCATTTCTAACACAAAAACTCTATTCTATCTTTCTTCAACTCATTTCAAGCATGTCATCGCAGAGCTAGTGATTTATAAGCCCGTGGACATCACAATCTTTGCGGCGGTCACTTGCTACCGGGCTACTTCAAATCTCAATCGCATCCCGGATCTTTCCGGCCCTGAAGGACTTTTTCTAAGAGAGCAATACCTTGCAACCTTCAACCTACAGAGACATTGAAAGTTCACACCATGGCTATCGAGGATATACGCAGAGCTCTGAGAACGCCGTCGAAAAGCACCTCTCGGTCAAATGTGCCGGAAATCCCACGGGATGAATCACCATCTGCTCGAATCGAGCGGCTTGGACGTGAACGTCCATCAGCGTTTTCCAATCCATGGACAGAGCTCTTCTGCATTTTTGGCATAGTGATGTCCCAGTTCTTGACCGAGTTCTTCGTCTCAGGCTTCACGGTCATCTTGCCACCCCTCGCCCAAGACCTGAAGATTCCCCAGGCTTCGCAGGTATGGCCCGCGACTGCCTTCTCGCTGGTGATCTCGAGCACGTTGCTCATCTTCGGCCGTCTGGGTGATATCTGGGGAGGATACCCGCTCTTTTTCGCGGGCCTTGCATGGCTTCTTATATGGAGCGTGGTCGCAGGTTTCAGTTCTGGCGCTGTCATGTTAAACATATGTCGAGCACTTCAGGGCCTGGGAGCTGCTGCCTTTCTCCCGAATGGGGTCATGATCATAGGCTCCCTCTACCGGCCCGGGCCTCGCAAGAATCTCGTCTTCGCCATCTATGGCACCGCGGGCGTTCTGGGCTTCTTTGGTGGTATTGCCATTGCCGGGGTCGTGGGTCAATGTTTACGCTGGAGTTACTACTTCTGGATCGGCGCTGCACTGGCAGCGATCACGCTCGCCACAGCAATCTGTGCGATGCCGTACTCGACTCTGGCCAATGACTCCCGCAGGCAGGTGAAAATGGACTATGTCGGTGGCGTTGGCATCGTGTGCGGACTCGTTTTCACGATTTTCGCGATCACGCAATCCGCACATGCGCCCTCGGGATGGAAAACGCCGTATGTCCTGGCGACCTTCCTCTTGGGCGTAATGTTTCTGGCCGGGACGTGGTACGTCGAACAGCATGTTGTCTCGGATCCACTCTTGCCTGCGTCCCTCTTCGCCGTGAAATCCATGACCCCTTTACTCATTGCCCTCCTCCTGCTCTACGGGACCTGGGGCATTTTCTCCGTCAATGGCTCACTGTACTTCCAAAACGTCCTGTCAGCGTCGCCCCTTCAGGTCGTCGTGTGGTACATCCCGATTGGCGTCGTGGGACTGGTCGTCAGCGTCATTGAAGGGTACACCTTACATCTCGTCCCTGGTCATGTTCTGATGATCGTCTCCGGGCTCGCCGCCGTGGGATCGCAACTCCTTCTCGCTCTCATTCCCCCGGGTGGAGGAAGCTACTGGGCATGGATCTTTCCCTCTGCCATCCTCAGCACGATTGGCATTGACCTGTCGACGATCCTGATGACAGTGTTCATCACGACCGCCGTCCCGTCTTCGCAGCAGGGACTGGCCGGGGGCGTGTTGAATTCCGTGCTGCAGCTTGGAGTCGCCTTCGTCCTTGGTTTCACCGACATCATTCAGTCCGCCGTGGTCAAGGATAGGGGATTAGAAGAAAGCTATAAAGCCACTTTCTGGTTCGGGGTCGGGGTCGCGGGTGCCAGCTTGATCATTCTGATGATCTGGGGCAGGATCCCCAAAGCGGTCAGTGAGCTGACTGCTGATGAAAAACAGGAACATGATTCTCTTTGATTCTTTTACTTTTGTATTAGTTTGCCTGCCTTTTACAGCGGACTTATATGCAAATGTAGAAATTTGATAGATTTTCATTAAAAATTCCACAGATTCAACACACAAAGATAATTAACGAGTAGGAAAAAGCAAAGAATGTATGCAGTTAAGGGAGGCGCGAGATGGAATACAAAAACGCATCAGCCAGATAAGGAAAAAAGGCGGTTGCCAGTGAGTAATCGTAATGAGTGACAGTCATGGAGGTGGAGGTGGAACATTCAAGCAGTTGGAGAGGTAGTCGGGGCTGCAGCAGCGGGTGTGGCCTTAGCGGCGGTATTGGCGGTGGCAGCAGTGGTGGCAGTAGCAGTCGGGGTGGCAGTAGCAGGAGTGGCAGGAGTGGACTTGGTGGCAGGAGCAGTGCTGCTGCTGCTGCTGCTGCTGGCCGGGAACTTCAATCCTTCATTCACTCCAACCTCCACCGTCCGAGCAATTTCCTCTCCCTTGACAGTGTACACCACCGCCAACTTCTTCTTCTTGTCCCTCTCATCCGGGAAACAACGCACCAGGGGAAGCTTCTCCACGGATCCATAGTGTCCCCCGATTATCTGGTAGATCGAATCGTCTTGCACTCGCTGGCCGCCCAGGAAGATGTCGTGAATCGCGATCTTCCCGAAGCTGTGGCCGTGGCTCAAGACTTTCTGTATGTCGGCAATATCCTTCTCGAGGTCCTTGATCGTCGTGTCCTTCTCTTCAGTCTTCTTCAAGAGCTCGTCGATACGGGCCTTATTGCCGCGGTTAATTTCTTCCCACCCACTCGCCATTCTTTGATTTCGCGCCTTCGCTTCCTCCAACTCCTTCTCATGCTGCCTTGCGTCCTCCGCCGACTCCGCCTCTGCCTTCTGACGCGCCACCTCGGCCTGGATCTTAGCCGCCTCCGCTTTCTCAACTTGAATCTTGGCCATATCGATCTCTGTGATCAGCTTCGATCTCACCTTCTCCCACCTCATTCGCTCCTTCTGGAGATGGTCGATTTTGTTTTGGGATCCCAGCTGTTCGTGGAGGTGTCCCTCCTTGAGCTGATTGTATTGTTTCTGGAATTCATCCAAGACGTTCTGAGCACGGTCCTTCTGCTTTGAGACACTGAAGAAGGCCTCGGTCAGCTCCCGAACCTTAGCCTGGGCTAGTCTGGCTTGTTCCTGCCAGTCGGCTCTCTCACGCCCTTCCGCAAACCGCAGCTCAATTGCCTGGACCTTCTCATTATAGGACTTTTTGTACTGCTCGAACAGTTCATGGTTGGTAAGATTGAGCGCTTGACCCCATTCGATTGCCTCCTGCGTGAAGTGGCAAGCTAACTCTGCGCGTTGTTCCGCCTTGGAAAGCCTTTCCTTCAGGGTCGCCTTCTCGCGCTGCTCTTGCGCGTAATCCGCCTCGAGCTTCATGAACTGCTCTCGAATAGCCCGGTGCCTACTTTCCGCATCCTGCTTCTCCAGCTCGGCGCGAGTCCAGGCGATTTCAGCCGCAGTGCGTTGCTCCTCCGCGTGCTCTCGAGTAGAAATAGCCTCTTCGAGCTGCTTCTTGGCCACGTCCAAAGTGTCATTGGCGGCACTTGCCGCCTCCACAGCATCTCGGATTTGATCCTCCAGCTCGCGGGATCTGGTTTTGAGGCCCTCCTTATCCTCCAATGCCTCCTTCACCTTCGTCCTGGCGTGGGTGAGCTGGGCCCTGAGCTCGTGGATTGTAGCTTCCAGACCCCTGATGAATTCCGCCTTGGCCTCGTGCTTGTGTTCCAGTTCCGCGACCCTCTTTCTTAAGGTCGAACAAGTGTCTTGCTCGCGCGTCAGTTGCTGACGCGTCTTGAGCTCGTCGAGCGCTGCGGCATTTCTGGCCTTGACAGCATCGGAGAGTTTCACTCGCAAGGAATCGACCTGGCTCACCAGCCGCTCCACCTCGGCGTCGAGCCGCGCAACCGCTGCATCCCGGATATTGAGGAGTCCCTCTGCTTTGTCGGACTCCAGCACCGCATCATCCCGCTCCTTGACCAGCTTGATCAGCTGCTTGCGGGCGTGGGTCAACGCGTGGCGCACGGTCTCGATTTCTGCCTTAAGTTGCTGATGGAGTGCGTGCGCCGCCTTGCTGTCGGCTTTGGCGAGTGCCTCAGCCCGCTGCGCCAGACTCAACTCGTCGGACAGCTTGGCGATGGTCACCATGAGGCCCTCCGAGTCGGCCTGGGCCTTCCGAAGGTGCTTGGTCATACTGGTCCGGAGTTTAATATAACTCTCATCGGAGGTGTGCTTCGTCCGCTTGAGCTCGAGGATATCTTGCATATATTCGGCATCCTGCACATGCTCTGTCTCAACATGATGAACCTCCAGCTTGTGAAGCTGGTGGCTGTTAACAATGTTGGCCTTATGAAGCTGGCCTGCGATCCACTCAATGGCGGACGCATCATTCAGCATTGCTGGGTTGTAGTCCAATACCCTCAGCACATCTGAACTTCCCTCCTCAGTGGGGAAAAAGCAGATTGGTTTGGCGACGGCCAAATCGTCGCTGAAACCATCTGCCTTGCCGTTAGAATGGCCGTTGGTGGGCGCCTTGACGGCGCCATTGCCATTGAGTTTGGTCAGGGCTGTGGTCAAGCCGTCAACGCCTTCGGCTGATTTGGTGGCCCCGTTAAGCTCCTTGGTGATGGGAAGAGGAGTAATAGGGACCTCAGGTTCGTTCAAAATAGCGGGGGCCATAGCGTCGATGAGAATGAGCTCGAAAGAAAGACTTCAAAAAGATTTGCGTCGTGTAAGGAAAGGAAGGGATAAATATTGTGGTCGAAAGATCAAAAAAGCACAAGACTTGGTGAATTGCAGAAGGATGGTGTAATAGTGCGGTGAAGATATGGGATGTTCGCTGCTGAGTCTACTGGCATCTGGGTAGATTCGTTGGGCCCTTTATACATGCTGAAGTGATTGCGGTTTCGCTGATCTGAGTGAACAGAGTCATATTCTTTTTTTTCAGCTGAACACATTCATTGTTGCTCTGGTCTGAGCATTCTTGCTCAGCTGTGATCTTCCAGCCGGTGGAAGCTGAGGAAGGGAGTGGATGCAGGAACTTGGGGTGGCGGGATTAGGGCTCGTCGGCTGGAATTACCCCATGGTTTGTTGTATACGTGCCTCCACCCTCGGCATACTTCAGTTCCTCACCTGTCGCCCATCGCTTGTTCTTACCGCGTTATTAATGCTTCGCCCACTGCCCTCTTCAGCTTCCGCCGAATCCCGCCTTCTTTTCGGAGGGGCCGCACAAGTTGACTCAAGCCGAGCGGCAACAGACGTCCGTCCAATCGGTGTCATGTTCAAGCAGCCCATGTGGCAGCCATGGGTTCTGCGTGCGCCAGTCCCTTCAGCTGGCATCAGAATTGACGCGTCAGCCAGAATTCCCGTGCGAAAGAATCCCCGACGTGAGAGACTGACAGTCCCATCTACCTCACCCTACCCATCACATCGAGATGGGCATATTTTGGAATCCCCTACCCTAAGCTTGAGCCATCAGAACTAAGTTTTCCAATCAAGCCAATGGCGTCGCAAAATATGTTGACGAAGCCTTGGTCTTGCGGTGTGATGTGTCTGATGGCTGTGGTGGTCTCGCTCGAACCATCACCAAGCGAGAGCTGAAAAGGAGACAGGTAATCCTAAGCGCGGTGGCCCTCACCAGCTTTTGCATCTAGCCCACCAGAAACTAAGCATTCTGTAGCCAGTGGACTCGCCTTTTGTGTTTGAAATGTCTGTGCGGGCTATGAAGGACTGATGGGTATAACAAAATCGCCGCTGCGGTTCAGAAGCCCGCGTCCAGGTCCCGATTGCTCTGTTGTTCAGATGCATGACAAGTTCTGGATGAGGTATGGCTAGCCCGTCGCCTAATGGAACTAGGAGTTTCTGCTAAGTGTGCCCCTGTGAAAACAAGTTGCGCTAGACGGACACGAGCTGTCAAAACTGTCTAAGCATAGTGGAAGGACCTTAATGGCTTGCTTCTCTTACGGTATTGTTATGCGATTCGTCACATTCAGCAAGCGAAAAAGCCACAACCACCTTGATTACTTCTTGGGTCTCTTAGGTTTGTCAAGTCGCACGGCTAAAGTGTTCATTGCGCCTCGAGGTGATAGGGATGGTAAATGAGGGTCTCTCGTTCTTCTTGTCTAGGTGACTGACTCCACACCTAGTCGTGGTCGTACTCTCATCGACCGACTACCGATGAGAACGGTTGTCAGGGGCTGTTTGGTAGTCTTTTCCCAGGGACATACAACCAACTGACCCTTTGGAATCGTTTCAAGTTTTGTATCTTCTCCCCATTTCTCTTGCTCTTCCTATTGTTTCTTCTTCTTCTTCTTCTTCTTCTTCTTCTTCTTCTT